GCTGCAGCATGTCCAAAGAAGGGCAACGAAGCTGGTGAAGGGTCTGGAGCACAAGTCTTATGAGGAGCGGCTGAGGGAACTGGGGTTGTTTAGCCTGGAGAAGAGGAGGCTGAGGGGAGACCTTATTGCTCTCCACAACTCCCTGAAAGGAGGTTGTAGCGAGGTGGGGGTCAGTCTCTTCTCCCAAGTAACAAGGGATAGGATGAGAGGAAACGGCCTCAAGCTGCACCATGGGAGGTTTAGGTTGGATATTAGGAAAAACTTCTTCACCGAAAGGGCAGTCAGGCATTGGACCAGGCAGCCCAGGGAAGTGGTTGAGTCCCCATCCCTGGAGGTATTTAAAAGAAGGGTAGACATGGTGCTTGAGGACATGGTTTAGTGGTGGACTTGGCAGTGCTAGGGTAATGGTTGGAATTGATGATCTTAAGGGTCTTTTCCAACCTTGGTGATTCTATGACTGAGCCCTGGGCAGTTTTGCTGAAGTTTGCAAGTTGTAGATACACTTCTGCAAGCATAGCTTTTCATTTAGAGACGTAAATTAAATTTAGGAATTCATCACTTGTATCTGAGATTTTTGCCTTAAACATTTTCCAATACATGGAAACCTTTCCAAACCATGGAAACCAAGGAAAGGTTTACCATTGGGGAAGCACAGGTTCAAGTCCTGGTGACTGCTTATTTCAGGTAAATCAAAGTCTCTTTAAGAACCTCTAAAAGAGACTGTGCTGATGGAGAGAGGTCAGTCTTGGAATGAAATTAGTCCAAAGGTTAGATTTTTCTTTTTTTTTCCTCCTCCTCATTCTCATGTGCATTAGAATAACTAAATTCTAATATTCATATTATTGTAACTCTGGAAGCAGAGAAACCCAATTTCAATTACTTACATTGTAAAAACAATAGATTTTTTTACTTGTATAGTAAGTGCTTATATTTTCCCTCCTGTCAAGTATGTTCTCTCTAGCTAATGAAGTCCTTACTTTTGAATAGGAGATATGGCTGTTCAACTAGCTGAGGATGAAGAAACATTTAATACCATTTCAAATCAGTATCCTGAGATTTATTTTCAACCCTTGATCCTTACAGGTATGAGATTCATTTCTATTGTAGGAAATAAAGAATGAGGTTCATTTGATATAAACTTGAAGCATTATTTAGCCGGTTTTTAGATTATTTAGTGCCAAATTTGAATATGATGTACAAATGTCTTTTAGAACCTCCCCCAGAGGATCACTTGCTGCAGAATACCTTGTGGCCTGAAATTCAGAAGTTGTAAGTTTTATTTTTCTTTCTTATTTAATTTACAAAATTTCCAGAAGGCTACTGCAACATATTAATGTAGTCTGGTCTTGTAGCTCTTCCTGTTTTACTACCTGATTTGACTTTGTGTGCAATGTACTGCTTGTAAAATAAATAAATTATATGTATATAAAAATTAGGAAACTATGCAGAAAATGGCAGTTAGAACTGATGTGCAACAAAATTTTTTTTCACTAGTTGTTTCTGTGCCAGTGAAATATGTGTGGTTTTTAGCATAAAGCTATTCTTTTGAATTTGACTTTCATTGTTGCTTTGGATGTTTGTCTTTTGAAGGTCTGTTTAGGGCACCGATCCCTGTTTTTTTTCCTCTTTGTTCCAAGAGAATAGTAAAGTTTCTGGTCTACTATAAGAAACTGTGGCATGTTTTCATGGTCTTACCTGTGCTGTGGAAAGTGATGGGCCTCTCTTTCCATGCTGCAGCCTTTGTTTATGTCTGTCTGCTCAGCACATCTGCTTAAAAGCTTGCCTATACTGAAGGTCTCTCTGTGTAAGGAGTTTTCTGCTTCTTTCCACTTTGTGGCACAGACTTGCAGATCAAGTTTGTCTTTGTGGTATGGAAGTAAAGGCTGAGGCATCAAAGGAGGAGCTTCCCCCTAAAGCCTAATAGAGTTGTAAGATGCAATCGATAGAAGCAGCAGCCAAAATAGGATGTGTCTAGTGGCAGAGCAAAGTGATGAATGTTGAATACAATGGTTACAAACCCAGTTTGGGTACTGAATGCTGATAGAGTGGGCTGTGGACTGCAAAGATAATAGAGTTAGGTGGTCATGACAATAATTGTTTTGAGGTTGCAGGGTTTTAGAATTCTTCAGCTGTGTGTTGTTCCTTCTGTTCCGAGATTGACAACAGTCTGCAAATGAAGGTTGTCACCTTGTTTGTTCCCTAAAGATCCCGGTAACATTAGACTACACTTTCACAGTCTTTAAAGTTTTAGTATCAGTCTTCAAAGTATAGCACAAAGAAATGAATCATCTCAAGCTCCTATGGGTTTATTTATCTGAATCTCCTGAAAGAGTGGTCTCAGGCAGGAACAAGACGAATGTTGAGCCTTTGCTGATGATTACAGCTACCTTCATACATTACCGGTTTTATGACTTCAGTTGGGGGGTGGGAAATAAAAAGCTTTGGGAAAACAGTTTGCAGGTTGCTTTCATTTGACTGAGTGGGAGTTTTTGTGGGAGCTCATCTTTACTTTCAACTGGGCAGTTAATGATCTTTGAATGCTTTTAAGCTCTTTTACTGTGTTTGTACTCAAAAGTGCTTCTAGGAGGGAAGCCGGTGGATATTAGACCGTATCTGCACGTTTTGTAATTTCTAACTGTTACGTTAACTGCTTCCCCTGTGCATGCTATGGCTGCTAATGCACCCGGTCACGTAAGTAGTTTGATGAGGGATCTTTAAGTAGTGAAAAGGAGCCAAGGCCAAAATTTTTCTTAATTTGCCTTTGACATTTCTCAAAGTGTAGTGAGACACTAATCTTTGATATTCTGCTACAGGAGTACAGCGTATCTGCTTTTATAGCCTGCATTCATTAAAATAACTACATTTTATGATGGTCTTCGGGTGACTTATCTGAGCAATTTTTTCAGTTTTTAGAGACACTGCTAATGATAGGGATTCTTTTATGCAAAGGCAACAAGATATAAAGCATTCATAGACTTTCAGGTTTTTTGCTCCAGATAATCTTGAAAGAAGTAACATGAAATTGCATAATGTAGATTTCAGGTTGCCATAGCAGCAGAAAAACTGCGAGGAACAGACTTGCTAAAAATAGCTTGCTTGTCATTGACGTTTGTGTATTCCCAGCTCTAACTTGACACCAAATTTTGAAGGATTAGTGTTGGGTTTTGAAAACTGTTTGCTTGAGTAGGTTTTAGTATGAAGAATTTGCTGAATTTTTTTACATAATCTAATAACTTTAAAATAAAAATATGATCAATCCTGTGAGAGTATGCTAATCTTTATCCTCTTGGAAAATTACCATAGAGAGTTCACACGCAGCAGGCTGAGATTAAAGCCTGAGTGTTGACATAAATATATATGTTTATATGTATGTACATTTCATGTAATACACTTGGAAGTCTTGAGAGATCCTTTTTGACACTAGAAAATTACTGTAATCATTTGTCTGGACACTTTGAAAGTCCAGTCAGTTTAGCTGCGCATAAAAAAAATCGCTATGAATTGCACATTGCTAAGGTAAAATTGCTTGTGGTTGAAAATGTAATTTCATTATTCATTCATGCAGTTGCTTCTCTCCATTGTGAACCTTTTTTTGGTGTTGTACTACATAATGAAGGGATCAGATTGCATCTGTGGGGGCAGGGGAAGGGGTTGGACTGGAGCTTCTATACTTGCAAGGCTCATACACTCTTGTAAACAGCATCTCCTGTTGCCACTAACTTTATTCTCTTTACTGGAGACAACACTGGGCTAGGCTGTCCGTCTGACCTATGATAGTCCTGCTCATGTGACTTTGCAAAAGACAGTATTTTAGGTTTTATTTTAATTTAAATAGAAAGATTACATTTTAATGCTTTTATATTTAGCAAGAACAAAGTTGCATGCAGAAGCTCAAAATGTTTCTGTCAAGTGCTCTTCAATACTACATTTGGGACATAAAGCAGAAGTAATGGAGGACTTGTTCCACAAGCTGTTCCACAGGTTATTTTTCCTTCGTTGAATTTCAGGAAACGTATACTTTTCATGGAATAAATATTTTTCAGTTTTGGAAACTTGACTTTCAGTGGTTTTCACTGCAAAATAGTCTCAAGGAATGTGCTTTAAAAGTAAGCATTATGATAAAACTCTTGCTGGTGGCAGAGTAAGGGGAAGACAGGCAGTAATACCTTCATCATTATAAGATATAATCAAATTTGCAAATTAACATTCCAGTTAAGCGCAGCCATCAGTCCCTCTTCCCCCTGAAGGTCCAGGCACAGTTACTCTTCATGAAAAGGCAATGTATCTCCAGTCTTCAGCCATGAGTGTGGGAGTCTATCAATGGGATATGCCCAGCAGCAACTCTTCGGGACTCTGTTCAACAGATACAGGCAGTAATTTGTCATTTAAACAGATGGTTATTTTGGCTGAAAGTGAAATCCCATGAACATCAATCCCATATAAGAACTTCTTTCCATCATTGCTTACCACAGGAGTTTATTAAGAGAACTGCCCATCTCTTCAGAGCTTGGAATCAAAGGACAGCCCCCCCTCTGCCCACAATTGATATTTAGGTGATATTTGTCTACTATTTATGGGTTACATCTCCAATTTTACTCTACTTCCAGTCTGTTTTGTGACTGATTTTAGTTTGTGTTAGTCTGTGTGGCAGTTCTGCTTATTAGTTAAATCCCAGTCCAGATATGTGAGCTTGAATTCCAGCAGAACTTGTGCAAAGACTGATTAAAAATGTAATTCTGGAAGATGCTAGAAGTTTTGGGTTTTTTTACAGTGTTTTTTTCCTTTTTCCAACATGATTCTTGTTCTCTAGTTCAGAAATCTTCTTTCAGTATTGGCTGGAAATACTTTTCAGTATTTGGCTGGGTGTTTGTGGTGTATTTCTTTGGTGATCTTCAAATATGTGGCTTCTGACTTTTATTGGTAGTGTTAAGATTGCTTTACAAGAAAGTAAGAATACATTAAATGCTGCTTTAGTCTGCTTTGTTAATCATTAGTGTAGCTTCTGCAATGCTGATGCTTTAGGACTATGGAATGGGCTGGAGAGATTGTTCTGTAGTCAGTTCCTAAATGTGAAAGAATTTATGCAGATATTTATATTGAATGCTGAACATTATTAGGAATTAAATAGTGGTGAGAAGTTCCTGACAGGTGCCTTTCATTTTTGCAAAGGGATTTAAATTAACATAAGAACCTTGATACATACTGCAAAAATGACTGATGTGTTAAATATCTTTTCACATTTATTTCAGATATGGACATGGATATGAAATTTTTTGTGTTGCTTGCAATAATTCAAACACTGTAATTGCCTCAGCATGTAAGGTAAGAAAAGATTCTAGCACCATCTAGTGAAAAGTGCCACCAGATTTCTAGGGCTGACAGAGCAGGAGTCAGAATTCAGGTTGGGCTGAATTCTGTTCTTTCACTTAAATGTGAAAGATTTTGTATAGATGACAGCTGCCTTGCAAAGGTGAGAGTGAATGCAGATATGCTATTACTCGTAAATTATGTCTGATTAATTTGAAGATATTAGTAAGATAAATTCTAACAAATATAGGTATAAAACATTTTCTTACTGATATATTGTCAGCATTAGTAGAAAGTAGTGAAACAATCTTGAAACTTGCCAGAGGAAAGCTGATTCTAACTTGATTGCAAGCCTTAAAACAAGCCCCCTAACATCTTAGTATTTTGAAATGTGACTTTTATATTTGCTTTCATTAATTCTCACTGATATTTTTTCCATCAACACAGGCTTCCAAAAAAGAACATGCAGCAATTATTTTGTGGAGCACTACTTCTTGGAAGAAACTGCAGAGTTTGTCATTTCACAATCTGACTGTTACTCAGCTGGCATTTTCTCCTAATGACAAATTTTTATTAGCGGTTTCTAGAGACAGAAATTGGTCACTGTGGAGGAAACAAGACTCATCAGAGTCAGGTAAGATATATAAAGTGGATATACACATTTGAAGACTTCATGGTTTGTTTGATATTTTTGGCCTCAAAATATTTGAGAGAGAATTGGTAAAATACTTTGATGGCCATTTTCCTTACAACATTTAAGAATTAATAGTGTTGTAGGCTCCTGTGGCTTTAAGAAGTGTAATTGATGGTGTATAGGAAAGTTAGAAAGGGAATTAAAATGTGGAGAAGAATGTAATCAGGCCTTAAATGCTGTTTGACTGATGGATGTAATGAAGTCTGCTATTTGTCCTCCTGCCTTCTGCTTGTGACTGTATGTTTCAGATTTACTGAAATCAGGTGTACGTGCTGGAGTGTAATGCCTGAACATCAGACTGGTATTCTATCAAGGAGAACCTTCATCTCAGTGATCTGTGCATGCTAGGCTGGAAGGTTCATTGCTACACCCGTGTCCTGCATAGAGTTGCCTTGTCCCTGTTTGCAGGGCATGACGCTTTGAGACTCTCGACAGGATTAATCTCTGTCTTTGGTGTGGCTTTCTGATAATCCTACACAATTGATTAATTTGACTAGGACTGGCTCTGTCTGGAAAAAGCTGATAGTAAAGATTCAGTTGACTTTCTCATTAAGACTTTGAGCCTTGCAAAATCATGAGGAGATTGCTATTGAACGCTTTAACGGATTCTTAGAACAGATGCTTATGCTGAAAACATCTATCATTGCACTGTTGGCTTAATAGCACATAAACACTACTGGGCTCTATAGAGTTTTCTTAGAGACTTGGCAGTGAGTTTTGGCCCCTTCAGACAGTGTCCAGTTGTATCCTGGCTTGAGATTTCTTTTCTATTCAGACTTCTATTCTAAAGCTTGGCATGTTTTCCACAGTAGTTACACAATGTTTCAGGATAAGGAGTGTGAATTCTCATAGGAAGTAGAGGAAATCTTCTTTTCATCTGTTCATCAATAACTTTTATGTCTATAAAGAACATCATCATCAGTGTAAAGCAAAACTGCTGGTATTGGCATCCTAAGAAGTGGTTATTCAAAGTCTATGCTCCAAAATTACAGCCTTTTCTGCTTAGGAAAATCATTCCCATTTACTGATCTGCTGATCAGATTTGTTGCCTGATTGTATGCATATTGAAATGACAGCCTGTCTCTTTGGGGACAGATTAATCTTCATGATTAGTTCATTATGGTTTGAGCTCTTGGGGCTTTACTGGTAAATAGGAACTGTAGTGAAATCACTGGGGTTACGTGTACACATGGTATATGTTGCACTATACTAAAACTTCTGAAGTCAGTGATCTTGTGAAAAACTTGTATAGAAAGAACCTGAAGGTCTTATACTTCAACTTAAATTCTTCTGAAACAGATATTCATGTAAAAGATCAAACTGTTCCTGCTGTTTTAGTGCTATAAGGGCTGACTGATACAGTCTTGAATAGGTGCTAATTATCATTGTGGTAAGTGTTGGAAAAAAATATTTATGTGGTGCTAAGTATTCCTGGTTGCTTTAAAGATGAGTGGAATGATGTGCAAGTATTCCTACAGTTCTTACATAGAGTAAGTAAGAGTAACAATTACTTTTAATCTGTAGAGTAGTTGAAGCAAGGGTTTTCCTCTGTATGTTTTATTCCAGGACCAGTTTTCAGTTGCTGTGCATACACAGACAAAAATACAGCTGTTCACAGTCGAATCATTTGGTCTTGTGATTGGACACCAGATAGCAAATATTTTATTACCGGCAGTCGGGACAAAAAGGTAATTAATATAAAAGGAATTTTAAAAGCCCAGGATTATTTAAAATGTATTTTACATTAGCAAATGCTGTGTTCTAATGAGCCCATATTCTATAAATACACAAAAAGCTTATTGTGTGTATTACCACAGAAATCAGTGAGACTTTCATATGCTAAATAAGGTGATTGAATATGTATGTACAAGACTGTGGTCTGCCAGTTGGACTTCCTCCTTTTTTCATACAGTAAGACAAGCATATGTCACATAACGTATGGGTCTCTAAGTTTTTCTGGTTTTGTTGTCAGTGTCTTTAATGAAATCAGACAGACTGTCTAAAAAGTTGAATCTTTGTAGATAGACATTTTTTACTATTTTAGGGGTCATCCACTTCGTTCTGTGCCCTGGGAGTATTTTAACTAAGTTATTCCTTAGGTTTTTGTAAATGCATTTACAAAAAGATTAAAGTGAAAATTCCCAGATGATTCTGTTTCTTACAGGTCATTATTTGGGGCCAGTGTGATTTATCTGTGACTACTGAAGGGAATATGTTGAATTCAGTCAAGCCTTGTTCAACAGTACTGGATACTGGCGATTCTGTTACTGCTGTTAGTATCAGCCATGTGCTTACTCCTGATGGAAGGTATTGCTGTTTTTCTGTAATGCCATTTTGTGTTTAATTTGAAATTAGTATTTTTTTTTTTGCCCTTTAGTGAGTTTTCTGTGGCTAAACAGGTCCTAAAATTACTTGTCAAATACTTTGACCATTCTTTCAACTGGATTAAATCTCCTTTTTTATTTTCTAGCCTTCTTTTCAGGTGTATGGCAATGTCTTCAGTGTAACAACAAAAAAAAAAAAGGGGAGGGGGACATTAATGCACCTGAAACACATTCATTCTTCCAACAATATTGACCAGTCTGATTCTGTAATAAGCTCCTTATTTTTTTCCTAACCAAATATATTTTGCAGGTTTCTGCTTCACTCATTTTTTATGAAGAAGCTTTGAATTAAATTGTGATATTTTTTCATGAAAAAGTAAATATTGATTCGAAGGGCAAGGTGCAACACAGTGTTTGCTAGTTCTTTGTAGCTTGCATTAGAGTCTGTTTCACTGAGCTGCCTACTGCAATCTTTCAGTACTAATGCAGTTGCTCTCTTGATAGATATATTGTTGCAGTAGGCTTAGAGAATGGGAAGATTATCTTGTACACATGGAAGCAGAGCGGGCAAGAACCAGCACTAGCTGATTGGACCACGTGTGTTGAGATGGATAACAGGTATGTCTTTTGAAGTAAGTTAGGAGCGAGGAGATATTATTCTTGAGACTAATTGTGCTGAAGTTCTGTTCTTATAATATAAAATGATATTAAACTGGTTTATTTGTATATAAAAAATTGTTATCGTTTTTACAAAAAGGCTGATCCCTGCAAGTCTAAAGATGTCTTCAAGCAAAACCTGGAAATAAAAATATTCGTTATTTAGATTTATTTAAAAAACCAACAAACCTCAAAGAAAACAGGTGATGGGTGTTAAACCCCCAAATACTTCATGCTATGCAAATGCTTTGAGAAGTATTACCCTTTGTTGGCGCCACTTAAAAAAAAAAAAAAAAAAAAAAAAAAAAAAAAAAAAAAAAAAAAAAAAAAAAAAAAGCTTTGTTACCTGTGGCTGTAAAATAAGATGATAGAAAGCACTGAAGAGGGGGGTGGAAAGAATCACTGTCTGTATACATCAGCAAAACATTATGGAGTGAATGACAAGTTTTCAGGAGCAGCTTCTAGCAGAAACCAAAGGAATGACAGGCTATATGTGGTGCTGCTGTGGTGACAGCTAGAGAAACTCTCTGTAGAGAGACTGAGTGTTTCACTTGGAGCACTCTCCTAGGTTCTTCCTTCACACACTGGCATTGGTAATACCAGAAATGAAAGTTGGTGGTGACTTTGGCCTGTGTGTGCTTGAAGTGAATTGGGAAGAGACACCAGATAAGAGGAAATCGCAGGCTAAAAGCCAGAAATCTGTCATATCTCAGTAACTGAGATGCTAGACCTTCAGCTTAATGTGGTAAAACTTGAAATCAATAGCTGTTTAAATTATTGATGAGTGAGAGGATAAAATGTCATTACTGTTAATGGCCCTACTTATTTTAAGAACTTAATACCTGCTGGTTGTCACAAGTCAGTTTTTCCTCAGTTGGTAGTGTTAAAAGAAGAGTACTAATTATATAAATGTTGATGTTTACACTCACATGCCCAGCTGTGTTTGACATTTTGCAGTTATGTATGGATTTCTTTTTGTTGCAGCCAAAGTTATGCTCTTGCTGTGAAACGTTTATGTTGGAGACATCATGCGGGCAGAGCTGGACATAATGATCAGAACAGCAGCGAGTGGTTGCAGCTTGCAAGTTGTGGAGCTGATCACTGTGTTAAGATATTCAATGTCAACAGGTTTGCTCTTTAGCAAAGGCAGCAGGCCTGTCTGTGAAAAACAGATTCATAACATTTTATTTCAGCTTTAACCATTTTGTTTGTTGAATTTGCTGGTTTCTGCTGTGGAAAGTGAATTTTTTGACATGTAACTTATTAAAGCAACTTTTGTGGTAGTTTGAAATGTCAAATATTTTTCTAATTCTGCAGTTCCAGGAATATGAAGTATTTTATATGTTTTGGTTGGTGAATATCCTGGAACTGAGGGATGGGAGAAGGATAACAAGACAGTCTTGTTCGCTGTGACTCCAGGAGTGGGTCGGAAGCTGCCACTATTTGGGTTCTTCTGTGCTTGGGATTGCGAGTGGAGTATTGAATTGTTTTGAACTCCTTACTGCTATTAAACTCAACTGTCAGTTGACCTGCCAGTGCTACACTGCGTGTTTAAGCACGTGCAGTTAACCAGAGATCAGAGTTAAATATCGAGCTTTCTCTGCCTTCTGAATGTATATTACAACCCTGGTCCAAGTCTTAGACTGCCTTACTTTAGAAGGAGTAGTTTGTGTCTGCATGCTTGGACAGGCCTGCTTGCTTGTTTTTCCTGTCTGTATTCCTCTTTCTTCTGCTGTGCAGAGTGCTGGGCTCATGCTTCTTCGTCATGTGGAGCTTCAAGCCTAGCTCACAGACCACTTAAATCTTCTGGTGCCTCCTCTGTGTACCTGTGAGCCCTTTCTGAGCAGAGTGCTATGGAAGAGCCCCCTCTTATTCTGCTTGCGGGCTATCCTCTACAGTTTGGGCTGAAAAAGCTTATCAGTAGGCAGGACCTGAAAGGTGGCAGCCATTTCTTATACTGCCTTTGGACTCTTTGTGACTTTTGAGTGCTCCTTATCTATTCTGGTGAGAAGTTGAACCAGTTAACTTATTTGTCTGATTGTCTTGTAATTTAAATAGAATGATACTAGACCTCAGCAGGTCTGTCTCCAATTCCAAAGTCTAATTAGAAATCCGTTAAACTTTGGGGTGAAATAATTTTTGTTCCAGAACCACTTGCTACCTGAACTGGTAGTGCAGAAATAATTGGAATTGTGCTTAACTTTTTACTGTGTTGCATCTTTAGATAAAGAACAGTTCTTTCACGGTGGGCCAAACTCTTTTCAGAATAATTATAGTTTATGTTTTAAAGGTTTTTATATTTTAGCTTTTTATTTTCAATTCTGTTTCTCAGCATTAAAAAAAATTCTTTAAAATTACTTAGGGGAATAAAAAAGTGACTTCTTAATAACGATGCTTTGCTATGTTTTACTTGTAGTACCCCGTGCTTTCCTTACATGTGTGCTTTAAGCATTTGAGTAGTGTATTTTACTTGTCTGGGAATTTTTAAACAACCGTGGACTGTATTCTGGCAAAAGACAGACATGACTTATCACTCATGACGCTCCAAAAAGTTGCCAAAAGTGGAAATTTATTCTATGTCACAACTGTATCTGATGTGCAATTTGATGATTATACTGGATGATACTTTCCAATACTAGGACGCCTTGCTATGCAGCCCCTCTAGTCTATAGGTAAAACTGAAATGTCATGTTGTCCCTCTCTTTTATTTTGTGAAATGCTGTCATTAAATGAGCATCAGCTGTTACATGATTTAGTAATCCATTCCATTACCCCTGGGATTTTTGTGACTCAATCGCATTGAAGATTATACCTCATTGTTCCAACTTCAGATACATCAGATTAGGCTGTTGGTCTCCCAAGTCAAAATGTTTGTAATAGACACTTCATTTTCAATTAAGTTGGAGGTTGTCAAGAGACACCTCGACACATGATTAATGTTTTTTATGTATGATGTTACCTTTGTTCACATATCCCTTTACTATGCATTTAGTGGGCGTGACTTTTACATACGCCTTTATCTTCTCAGTAAATCCACTAAAGTCTTTGCAAACCAGCATGTAAATCAGCATCGGGGTAATAAGTCAGATACTCGTTTCATTATCTCAACTAATATCAGAAAACTATTTGGATCAATATAAGTGTGATACCAAGGAAAAATCGGTGTAATTATAGCGGTCATTTTTGGGGTAGCATTGGCTGCCTAATGAAGAACAGAGTTCTTTAAACAGCAAAATAGTACCCTTTAAGATTATTATAAGAGTCCCTAGAAAATTTATTTTCTATTTTGTTTGGTTTCTTTGTTTTTAAAAAAAATGGAGGAACGCAAGCATTTGCCAGACATTTACTATATTCATTCTACTTCATTATTATTCTTTTACTGGTTTGATTAAATACTCCTGGAATCCCAAAACCTGTCTTAATTAGGTTTTTATTTGAAAGAATCTACTGTTGTTTGTGTCCACTGAATGGCTATTGCTTTTATTTTCTTACATGTGCTTTTCTTTTGTATATACTTACTCAGAGAGATTATTTAATTGGTCAAAAATAGTGCATGCATTCATGTACTATTTCATACATTAAAAAAAAAAAAAAAAAGTCTTCAGTCGTATTTACCTGACTGACCTGACCGTAGTCCCATTTACCTACCAAGATGTTTAACTGTCATATGTATCCATTTTTATTCCTACATTTTCTTCTATGCTTCCCTGGTGCTCTGTCATTGCTGTTCTCTCTTGTGATGTGCCATACCTCTTCCCGTTCCGACCCATCCTTTTTTTTGTTTGTTTGTTTTTTTCCCTAAAAACTTGATTATTTTTCATGGCCTCCCTTAAATGAAAACTCTAATTGTGCTCAGGTGTATTTTGGAAGATGGAGTTAGCCTCTATACTTTGCAAGTTGCTTGTACCACCCTCTTTATAGCAGATAGTTCAATGTCATACAATAAAAACAAAGTTGAGGTAAGTGTAATCTTATTTATTTCTTCCCATTTATCTTCAAGACTAACCAATAAGCCCTGCCAACTCCAATCTTAGGAAGCTCCAACTTTTCACAACACAGCCTTCGATACTGCATTTGTTTTCCCTTAAAGTGATGCAAGATCACGTCCAACGGTCAGAGGTAAAAACTTGCTGTCTGGAATCATGATGGTCCCAGCTTTGCCCTTCCCTGCCAGTCCTAAGGTAAGGCATAAGAACGTTATTCCAGTAATGAAAGCCCAGGGGCAAATGGTACATGTCGAAATGCACCTGCCTATAGCAGCCTCATCCTCCGCATGAATTTCTGACTCCAGTAGTATTACATATTTCTGAGTTTCTGTCTTCATTTCTGTTATCAGTTTGGACAAGGGCAGTGTGTTTATTTTAAACCTCCGTGATCTAGCAAGATACAAAGCTATGCAGCTTCCCCTCTAAACTGAGGCCCTCCATAGTGCTATTTACACTTTACTGCCCAGTTTTTTTTAACCAACCTTTGCATCGAAAATGCGCAGAACTGAGTCTATGCAGGTTTAGAGAGCTAAGCTGCTTAGCGCTTCTGCAACCCTCAAGTGCTGCTTTCTGAAGTACCATGGGCTGATTGATGTACGTGCTCGTGTACCTTACTGCTAAATAATAGCGTACATTTAATTAAATGTTGCCGTAAGCACTGACGCAGATGAGGCCTTGTTTCCCACAGATTTGGGCTCATTGCAGATCGTGAGTTTTCATTAGTTTTCCTGTGCACAGTTACTGAACAGCTGTTATGCATGGATTTTCACCTCCAGTGCATGAGCTCAAGGTGCAGCGTTTTGTCTAGACACTGATGGAATTTTTTTCTTCTATCTCAAGCCTATAAAATCTGTGGATTTTTGCCTTTGAACACCCTACCTTTCACACAGACCTGGGTTGAAATGATCCAGTTGATTAAAATAACGCATAAGGATGTGTGTCCACGTGTGTAAACTGAGAAACAAGATTGGTGTACTCTTAAGAGACCAGGGTAAAAACTTAAACCCAATTTACAAATATGTACCTAAAGCTCTGACAAAAGGCCAACACTCACCTCATATTTTGCCCTTACACAATTAATGCTTTAGTTGTCTCTTTTTATGATGGTCTTTACCAGTAGATGTAAAGCTCGCATGGTACCAAGAGGAAAACAACACAGAACATCAATCAATTTGTCTTTTAAAGATAGACTGATTGATAGATTTAAACCAGTTTATTGTCTTGTCCATATGGTTGCTATTGGAAAATATCACAACAGTGGCATCGGCTTTTATCCCAAAGTCTCAATTCCAGGAAGCAAATTGCTTCCTACACTGCAGTTGGTGAGTAAGTTTCCAAATTTTTTTTTATTTTAAAATATGAGCTGTTGCATCTTTCTGCATCAACTATAGCCATAAATATATTTCAAAAGCCTGTAATCATCCCAGTCTGAATCTCAGTGGCATCTGCTTTCAAATACTACACACCATACTGTTTATTCCCACTCAAATTTGCATTGTAAAGTTATATTGCTGCTTTATCTTCTCCTACCTTACTGAAAGGCAATGTCAATAAGCCGGTGCCATTAGCCTCTCCAAGGTGTCCCATTAACGACCATCTGGAAAGCACACCGCTAGAAAGGAGAGCGACGTGTTCTGCAGGGGGAAATCTCGGTCCTGGCATCTTTATGTGGACAAAAAAAAATCATTTTATCACAGAGCAAAGAGGTTTAAAGACTTCTCTAAACGTACAAATTAAAGAGCTACAGAAAAGACAAGGAGAACACAGTTTGTAGTTTCTCTGAGGCTTTTTCTTTTGTTTTAGTGAACATGTAAGGGCCCTTATACATCTTCTGCTACTGAAAGTGAAGCTCTAGAATTATTTAAAGATCAAAACTTAAAAGACTTGAGACTAGTCAAGTAAATAACTGAAAATGAAAATTATTTTTACTGATTATAAAACATTATGCGCTAGAAGAAAGTGTAATAAACTGTAGTCCTCTGGACTTGTCTGAAATAATACTTTAAGAGTTGTTGGCAGTGGACACAGTGCTCGTTGTACAGTGCCATTGAGAATGGAGTTGAAAAAAAATGATGGCATAAACTGAAGTTTTGCAAAGAATATTCTAATACCTTGTGATACATTTGAGGTAAAGCCATCCCATCAATATTTTGGATGCACACTATCAGAAGTATTTTACTGGCTCTGTGCTGTTTTGAGGAGACCTCATGGCCAAGGTTATGAACAGACTTCTATGTAGTCAGACTTAAAGGAGCAGGATTGTCTTGTCCTACAGTAGAGGCATGTCTGAAAAAGAAAGCAAGAAATGCCCT